AACTTTTCCAGCCCCATGCCCTTTCTTGGCGCCCCGGGGAGCCCCAAACGCACTCTTCTGGGGTCTGTGGGGCCAGCTTCCTGGCTGGAGAGGTCTTGGGGGGCTAGTTTTGGGGGCAGAGGGCTTAGCTTATGAGACCTTCCTGTCTGATAGGTTTTTCCTGACGCATGAGCCAAAAGGGTTCCCACAGCCGCTATTGTTCACAGGAGAGGGAAACTGGGGCAGAGCTCAGGACCTCTCAACTCTTCCAGGGCAAGTTTGGGGTCTCGGGGTCCTGCAAGTTCCCAGAGCCAGATTTTGCTGAACCCAGAATTTCTGGGTCCTGGGTGCTGGGACCTAGATTTCTGTGGTCTGTTTGCGTATTTGTTAAGGCCGTACTGTTTTATAACCAATTCACTTATCAGGGTATTAATTCTGTACCTCACTCATGCGCTTGTCAGTTTGTTCTAGAATTCATGAAGTCATATGCTTGTGCTGCAGGTTGCGCCATAATCTGTTGGTGCACGGGGGCCCTCCAGGACACCCTCATAACTGTCTCCTTCGTTCATGGCTGTGTGTCAGGGCAATGGTGTCTTTGGGGGCTTAGGACATCCACCTCTGAGGGGGGAACTGTCCTGGCTTTGGGGGTGGGGTCTCAGCGGAGCTTCTGGCCTTTGTGCTCCTATATCGCAGAGCCTGCACCAGTCCCGAGCTCCACAGAATGAATGGCTGTCCACCCTTCCAGCCCCCAAACCTTGGCACAAGCTGTTCGCTGGGTGCTACCCATTCCTGCCCAGCATGTGCCTTTGAGGTGTGGCCTGGGCCTTGGGATTCAGCACCAACCCTGGGGCTTGTTGAAGACAAAGGTCTCTGGGATCCAGAAGCAATGAGGGCTTAGGGAGTCTCACCTAGCTGGCAGCCTCCTCCAGGCAGGCCTCCTGGAGACATATAGCCCAGGCAGGGGCTGCTTCTGGCTCAACTCTGTGCTCCCATGCTGGTGAGTTTTGGGAGACAGAGGTCCGGGCTCTCCTCTCAGCTTCCCAGGTCTGGCCCAGGAGGCCTCACAGAAGGGGAATTGCTTGCTGGCTCCTGGCAGTAGGGTGGGTTGTATAGAGCAAGTGGAGGCACGCTTTCCTACAAGAAGGGACTTGGAACTTTCCCTCTGTTTTTGCAGGGTTGAAAATCTTTGGTACCCCTCCTCCCTACCCCTCATTGGCTTGGTGCCCACACGGCTCACATTCCTGCAAGTAGCCTCTTCCAGCTCCTTCCCACACCTTGCGGGTGGCGGAGGTGCCGCCCGTGTGTCTGGAGCCCAGCACCTGGGAGAGATGAGCAGGCAGCCGTCTTTCATCTATTTGTGTCCAGGACTCACGTGTTTTTCAAGGGCTGATGGAAATGCTCCAGAGCCTGCAAATAAAACGCCACAATAAAATTCAAAGCTTTATTAAATGACTACAGACCTTAACACTATATTGAAAAGCCACACACAGCTCAATCCTCCTCTTGCCTTAATTATATAACTATGCTAAAGTTAAAATCAAACAAACAAATTTATTATGATGAAACTCAGAATTGTTAAAGCCCTTTTACTTTTTAACAGCACAAATGGGCTGGGGCTAACCTGCCACGGAGTGGCTGCTCTGTGTCTTCCGGTGACTGTACCGGGACCCCTGAGCACAACCCAGTGATGGGGAAGCAAGCTGAGGCAGAGGGGAGGGGACAGCGTGCCTGCCTGTGGCCGTGAGTGGTGGCATTCCCAGGCCCCGACTCACTAGGCAAGAGTAAAGTGCACTCGCCCCACTTTGTGGGTGTAAATCTCTCTGGGACCCAGGTCTGGCCACAAATGCCTTGACTCCCGAGCGCAGCCCAGGCAGCCGAAGCCAGGGTTTGTGGACGCGCATGCTGTGCTCATTCGTGTGAGCTGCCCGCTTTGGGCTGTCCCTGGGTTTGTGGACACGCATGCTGTGCTCATTCGTGTGAGCTGCCCGCTTTGGGCTGTCCCTGGGTTTGTGGACGCGCATGCTGTGCTCATTCCTGTGAGCTGCCCGCTTTGGGCTGTCCCTGCCTTCCCTGTGATATGGGAGACAAAGGCCAAAGAAAAATGAAATGTCCTTACTACTTATAACCCATGGACAAATCCTTGACCTTCCTCTGGGAGCTCAGTGGCCCTAATGTTGACACTTCGCTAAGGGCGAAAGGCGATCTTAACCACCCCCCCGGGGTCCTGTGAATCTACTTTTTTTTCTTGAGAGAGAGAGACAAAAAGGGGGTAGGCAAGCAGGGTGGGTGGGGGTGGCGGGGAGGGACAGAGGGAGAGAGAGGGGGGGAGAGGAGGGTCCCAAGCAGGCTGCATACTCAGCACAGAACATTACGTGGGACTCGATCTCATGATCCTGAGATCATGACCTGAATGGAAATCAAGAGTCGGATGCTTAACCGACCGAGCCCCCCAGGCGCCCCTGAGTCTACTTTAACATATAAAAACTCCTTTGGAAACTTCCTTTATCTCTACTCCCCAAAAGATATGTTGGCAGTCATCCGCCAAGTGTATGACCCACCAGTATACATTGGAAAGGTCCCACGACTGGGGGTTTACTAGACAGTAATAACACTGTTTTCCTGACAGTAGCTAACCCCCTCAGTGTCCTGGAAATCTTGCTTCTGAAACACCTCAGAGGCTCGTGCTGTCCCTAACCCCTCCAACTTACAAGTGTATGATCGGCCTGTCCTCACAAGCCCCGTGCAGCTCTTTGTGCCCATGGGTCTTGTCCCTGTGCGCTAATAAACACACTTTCTTCCACTGAAGAATTCTTTCCTGGCCGTCGGCTCCGAACCCTAACATTTCCACATCACCTGTGTGTTTTGTTTTGCCTGCATGGGACACAAATGCTCTCTCACAGAATGTGTCCCCTGCTGTCCCCTGTGAGACACCTGTGTTCGGTGTCTTAGCCTGGCTGCTCGGGGGTCCAGAGAAGCCTGGGCCGCGTCCTCTGTGCTGCCGGTCCCCTCTGTGGGGTCCCTTTCGTGTTCAGGGAGTACAGTCAGCCTCCGAGCCTGGCCACTCATGAGCTGGGTGACCGAGCCTGTCCTTTGGCTTAGACTGTCCTGTGAGGGGCCAGGAATCTGCCTCTGGCTATCCTTTGTGCCGGGCCCACTGGGTGCACTCACATGGGCCTTTCCAGACCAGCCTCACGGCCCCCTCTTGTCCCAGTCTGGGCCTGAGCGGGGAGCCACTGAAGGCCACCATGGGACGCAGCTCCGTGGGCTCCTGCCAGCGAGGGGAGGCTACGGGGGCTAAGCCTCCTTGGGCTCCTGGCCCTGCTGGGCTCCTGAGGTCAGCGGGATCCTGCTTCTGGCTTCGTCTGGAGGGTGTGGGGGCACGTGTGTGTCTCCTGGGGGTCCGGAAGCCTTGATCTGTGGGTCTCCCTGCTCTTGCCCTGCCACTCGTGTGCCTCGAGTGCTTGTTGGTGTGGGTTCACGTGTGTGCGGCCCATGTGTTTGTGCCTGTGAGTGAGTGTGTGCATTTCCGAACCCATGTTTGTGTGTTCAGTCATGTGTCTGCTTCGGTGTCTTCATGTGTGTTTGCACGTGAGCCTGTGTGTCCCTGCATGTCCTGAGGGAGTGTCTCCGTGGTTGTGCCCCGTGTCTCCATACTGTCCCTGAATCTGCTGCAGTGAAGATGCAGAGGAAAGTCCTGGGGGACAGCTTGGGATGCTGAGTCCTAGGGCACCTGCCTGCTCCATGGTCTCCTGATTTGCCAGGTATCCTAGCAACGCTGCTGCCAGTCGCCTAGCAACCAGGTCCCCATCCTTGGAGATGGCTGCTCCAAGCAGGGTCTGGGCTATGTGAGTAGAGCCTGTGCAGGAAGAAGGACCCCATGACTTGGAGGCTGGTGACTCAGCTAAGGGGTCACCCACACAGCACGTGACCCAAGTGCCAGGAAGGAGGCAGCCCCGTGGGAGCTCTTCAGCTGCACGGGTGCTAGGGGCCCAGGCTGTGAGGAAATGAAGTTCAGGTGTCACTTTGGGACCCCAGCTGGGGCAGAGACACCCTTGGTGTGTCTCAAAGTGGCAGATGGACCTGGGTTTCACAACACGGAGGCTTAACGCTCCCATCTGCAGAAAGCTGATGCTGATGGCGGGGACCTGGTGTGCGGGGACTGATGAGCCTTCACCGTGGACCTGTGGAGTGCGCGGTGGGCACACAGGGTGCACCGTGGAGTCGAGGCACCCTGCTGGTCCACAAGGCTCTGACCCACTTAGTGCTGGCCAAGCAGGCTTCCTGCTGCGCACATACCCTCCTCTTGGCCTGCCCCTGCTCCGCCGGGGACACCCGCTGAGGGGCCCTTTCTGGGCCCAGAATGCCAACCGGGGCTGGTCTGGGTCCACCTGAGGCAGTGTCTCTGTGTGTTAGATGAGGCCCCGCCTCCGTGTCCCAGTCTGTGCGTCTTGTGGGCCTCCCCCTGAGTCTCTGTCCCCTGTCCCTGTCTGTGTCCTTGTGTGTATGTCTATCCCTCGACTCAGTTCCCGTGTGGATCTGCGTCCCTGTCTGTGTCTGTGTGTGGGAGCTGGTCTCTGTCGTTCATCTCGCAGTGTGCGCTCAAAGGACATCCAGTGCGGGGGCCCGGCCAGCCCCCCTTCCCTGAGGCCCCTCACCCGCCCTCAGGGCCCCTCCTCCTCAGGAGCGGCAGGCTCCGCCCCATCCCTCAGCTCCGCGCCAGGCTGCGGCGTCCGGTCTGGCATCTGCTGGGAAGGAGTCGCGCGCTCCCGCCGCAGCCCCAGCCCCGTGCAGCCCCGCGCGGACCTGCGGCTGGTCCGGCAGTGGCATCCCAGCCCCGCACCCCGGCGGGGCTGAGGGTTAGAGCCGCCACAGCCTCGGCTCCCACGGAGGTTGCTAAGGTAAGGCCTAGGGGGGGGGGGGGGGGGGGGGGGGGTCGGGAGACTGGGGTCGGGTGTGGACAGACTGCAGCCCCGGGGCAGGACTGGGGAGGGGCAAGAGGGAGTCGTGTCCTGTGTCCCACGGGTTTCTGGGTGTGTCTCTGCCCCTTTTGTGTCTGTGTGTGCCCGAGGTCAGGTCTGGACTTTTCTGTGGGTGGTGTGCACACATGGATAGCTGTGTGCCCCTGAGCCACTGTGGGTGGACACGTGTGTCGGTGTGTGACTGTGTGACTACACGCGCAAGTCCCATGCAGGAGACTGTCGGCCACGCGAGACCGCGTCCTCGTCTGCACACGCGCCTCTAGGCACATCCCTGTCTGTGCACACAGGTCTGCTTGTCTCCATGGTTTCTGCGTGTGCGTGTGTGCCTCTGCGTCCATGGCTGTGGGGGGGGTGGCGGAGGCTGCACACCCTGTGCTTGGAGGCCTCCAGGCTGGGTGGGGGTCAGGTGCTGTGGTCATGTGTCCCTGTTCTCTCCCAGGCACCAGGTGGCTTTGCACACAGGGAGGCAGAATGGAGTCCCTCTTCCCTGCCCCCTTCTGGGAGGTCCTCTACAGTGGCCACCTGCAGGGCAACCTGTCCCTCCTGAGCCCCAACCACAGCCTGCTGCCCCCCCACCTTCTGCTCAACGCCAGCCACGCAGCATTCCTGCCCCTTGGGCTCAAGGTCACCATTGTGGGGCTTTACCTGGCTGTCTGCATTGGGGGACTCCTGGGGAACTGCCTCGTCATGTATGTCATCCTCAGGTAGGCTGGGGACCCACCATGCCGCTACAGAGGGGAAGCAGGCAGGGGACTGTGTCGGGTGGGCCTGCCAGGTAGAGACTCTGCACCTTTCCCGTTCAATTTCTGGTCATCCTGTCAGGCAGCGTCAGGGGCAGGGTCGGTTCTGAGGCCCTGGGTACTCATGTCTTCACGGATGGGGCACAGGACTAGGGGGAGAAGGAAAGGAAGGGATCAGCCTTGCTCACCCTGGTCCTGGTAGGCGGGAGGAGGGGGGGTGCAGCTGTGTCCCCGATGGAATGTCCCCCTGACTCCTGACAGATCACACCCCCCGATGCGGGGGCCCAGCTCCTCGCCCAGCCACTGTGGGAAGATCGCATAGATCTCACGGTGACTCTGAGAGGCAGCTCCGGCAGCCGCGGCCGGTGCTGGGGCTGTGCCCGAAGCCCCTCCCCTTTGGCTCTGGGCGACTGCCTGGGTCTGGGTCGACTCCAGCATGTGCTGGTGCTTAGACTGGGATAGCCTGGGGGATCAGAAGGGCCGGCCAGGCTGCAGGAGAGGGGGACATCATAGGAACAGCATGGGGACATTGTGAGGATGGGTGTGCATGTATACACGTAGGTACAAGCATGCACACAGGTGAGCACACAAATCTGTGAAGTGCACACATGTAGGTGGGTACACAACAGTGCACACATGCATGGGTGAGAGTGTCCACACACGAGTTATCGTGCGGTGCGGTGTGCCTGTGCACACACATGTGTACCTTACAGCTGGGCGCACGTGTACAAGCACACACATGCAAGTGTGCCTCTGCACACACATGTGAGTGCCCACATGTGTAAAACAGTGTGTGAGTGTGCACACAGACACGTGCAAGGTGTGTGTGTTGGTGTATAAGGTGCACCTGCTTATGCAGGGGTCAGGGAAGAGCAGCTGTCTGTCTGCGGTGCTGAACCCCAGGGGACCGGACTCACATGGCCTCTGTGGCTGGGGGGTGTGCTGCAGGTGGCAAGTGGCCCGGCCTGTGGTGGTCTGTTTCACCCTTCCTGTCATCACTGCTTCTCTGTCTCTCTCCTCCGCCGTGGGGCATCCACACTCAGAGCCACATCCTCGTCCTCGTCAGAGCAGACAGGGAAGGTCCCCAGAGACACTGATGGGCAGGGACAAGCCTGCGTGTCAGAACAGTGTATTCTGACCCCGCGGACTGGGATCGGCTGCCCCAAGGGTCAGAGACATCACTTGCAAGCCCTGCTCTTCTTAAGAGACTTTATTTTATTTTTTTAAAAGATTTTATTTATGGGGCGCCTGGGTGGCTCAGTGGGTTAAGCCTCTGCCTTCAGCTCAGGTCCTGATCCCAGGGTCCTGGGATCGAGCCCCATGTCAGGCTCTCTGCTCAGTGGGGAGCCTGCTTCCCCCTCCTCTCTCTGCCTGCCTCTCTGCCTACTTGTGATCTGTCTGTCAAATAAATAAATAAAATCTTTAAAAAAATCTCTTAAAGATTTTATTTATTTATTTGACAGACAGAGATCACAAGTAGGCAGAGAGGCAGAGGGGAGCAGGCTCCCCGCTGAGCAGAGAGCCCGATGCTGGGCTCGATCCCAGGACCCCGAGACCACGACCTGAGCCAAAGGCAGAGGCTTAACCCACTGAGCCGCCAGGTGCCCCTACCTGCTCTTTTTTTTTTTTTTTAAAGATTTTATTAATTTGACAGAGATCACAAGTAGGCAGAGAGGCAGGCAGAGAGAGAGAGGAGGAAGCAGGCTCCCTGCCGAGCAGAGAGCCCGATGTGGGGCTCGATCCCAGGACCCTGGAATCATGACCCGAGCCGAAGGCGAGGCTTTAACCAACTGAGCCACCCAGGCGCCCCCTACCTGCTCTTTTTAAGACCACTTAGATCCTCTGAGCCTGAGTGTCCTCCTGTACAGAGTGTGGACCAGTATAGCCTTTTAAAATCTTAAATGAGAATGAAATCCATGTGGCGAGCTTGGCTCAGGTGTCTGCTGTTGTGGTCCTTGTGCTGTTATTTGGTCATAATTAAGGCCTGTTCGTGCTGATTCCAAATCCTTTTCTAAGACGCAGAACTGACCCAGATCCTCTTATGGTAGGTTCGGTGACATGGAGCCTTGTCACCTCTGGTGTTGCTGCTGCCAACACTGTCTTCCCCACCATCACTCCTCCCACCTCCACGGCCCCATCACCACGACATCACTGCTGTCTCCATCTCTACCCACATCGTTACCACCCCCCACTTACCACCCCCCACTTACCACCCCCCAACCTTTCCACCCCCCCACACTTATGACCCCCCCACTTACCACCCCCCACTTACCACCCCCCACTTACCACCCTCCACTTACCACCCTCCCAATAATTATCACCCCCCC